ATGTAACAAAATAGTAACTTAATTCCACAAAGAAGTGTGATGTTGATTTATTTCAGTTTAGGATAGTGTTGCAAAATTAGAAACAATAGCAATTGACAAAAATATGTTTTCCTAGGTCATTTTATTGAAAGAGACAAGATTTCAGTGTTGCTTTCCTTAATGGTTGTGCTGAGAGATAGTACATATTTGTAAATGAAAAAGTTCCTTTGTGCTAAACAGGGGAAGTGTCCATCTATAAATTAGTCCAAGGTTTGCAGCAATCTCAATTTTTTTAAAAATAAAAATCTATAGATAATAACTGAAAAACTAGCTGTTTTATATTTTATCCTCTGGAGTTATCACAGCAAAAGGAAATTGGGTAAGAGATGTAATAGACTCAATTAAACTAAATGCCACTGCTTCCTGTATGGGCCCATTACCATTTCTAAATTTGTTTTGCTTTACCATGAGATGTGGTACTGGCTTCTTGCTTAGCTGGCTTCAAAAAAGGTTAGGTGAATTCATGGAAGTCATGAGAATCAATGGTTTTTTAGCCTTGTTTGCAGTATGGTTACCTGTGAAGGCCATTGCTGGGAGATTAGGAGGAAAAGTACTAGAACAATTTACCTTTCACATCGAGTCCCCTGAGCCGTCCCCAAAAGATGATATAATTTATGGTAAATCTTCTGAGAGATTAAGGAGGCCCAGTATGGATGTACAGCCTCATCTCAGAAGTTATTGTCAAGGTCCACCAGTGCCATCTCAGTATTATAAGCAAGTCTGAATCCTGACAGAAAGGAGTCCATATAATTTATTTCTTCTGGGACTTTCTAAAATTGTGGACCAGCCAGCTTTTCAACAACTTTTCCCATAACTGTAAGATTGGAAGCTAGATGAAAAGTGTCCAGTTCCATTGGGTAAGCAATGGCCTCAAAAGAGTGGATGATTGCTTCCTGTAGACATCACACCTCCCACAAGGAGGGATTAAATATTTCATGGCTCCAATTACATGTCACTCCTGGGAAGCCTTAACCATCCCAAAGAGACATGTATCTGTTCCAAAGGTAGATGAACTCACAGCATGAAGGACTCAGTCCATTTCATCATGACTAATAGAGTCACAGATATCTGTGAAAACTGCACCACAGGTGCCTCCATATGACGTGAACAGTTGGGCTACCACTCAAAATGAATCTGAGTCACTTTATATTTTCGTATTTAGTATTTATTTGATTTGTCAATTGCTTACAAGATACAGGTATAAGAAATGACAGATGCCAGAATAGTCCACACAGCAGCCCTGTAAATCTTCCCCTGAGCCCTATCTACCTAGAGCGACCAGATCACCTTAAACAACTTTAAACATATTTTTGACAGAAAAGTATTTTTGTTGCCCTTATTGTATAATCCTTATTATGAAAGAATGTTGCATCAAAGGGATCCAAGGTCCTTGCTTTCTTCTGCAACAAAAATTGCTGCTTCCTTTTGCAATTATACCTTTCAAAGGAGGGAGGGTACAAAGAATAGTTTTCTCATGCTCAAAGTCTCTTCCATGAATCCAGCCTTGAAGCGAATAGGAGATAGAGACACTGGGAACAAATAGAAATGTATTTCC